TTGTGAGTTCTTATTACAAATGTACTCTTCGTGAGAAATTTGAACATCTGAAACAAAGTAATAGAACTGTTAGGGAGTACATTCATGAATTTAAAGTTTGTATCATCTACAATGATATAAAAGAGTGCAATGAAAACACAATGCGCAGATTTTTCAAGGGGCTTAATTCTAAAATTCAGGTTTTGCTTGCTAATGTGAAATATAATCATATTGGACACCTATTCATGCTTGCTTGTAGCATTGAGAGTCAGATCAAATCAAATGCGAGGAAGTATGAACAATGTGATTTATCTCCTGTTTTTGAATCTCCTATATCCTTGTGCAATGATGATATGCAAACATGCAAGGAGCAATCTTTTGTGTCTCCTGTTGCTAACGTTTTACAGGGAGTTCAGAACATTCAACAAAAGGAGGAGAATGATGTCACTGAGAAGAAAGAGGAGAAGCATGAAGCACCCGCGATATATGAAGATAGTTTTCAAGGTAAATTAAATGGTGCCGAAATAAATGAAGGTGAGTATACTCAAGGTGAGCTACACATGTCCACTGTTCATGCTACAGTAGAGCAGCCATTAGTGGAACCAATTGCTGAGATGCCTTTATCACAAGTTGATTTACTTGCTGTTCATTGTGATAAAGAAGAGTTGTGTAATAATGCTTCACTTATATCCATGCCACAACTAGTGAATGAACATGTTGTTTCTAGTGTTTCTTTGTGTGCTGATTTTAAGCATGTTGTTCACATTGCTAATGAAATAGAGGAACGAGAATTGACATCTTCTTTAAACACTTTGGGCTATGTTTAGTTTGATGATTTTTGTGAGCTCAATAATTTGAAGGAGAAATTATTTGCCAAGTCTGATTTGCCATGTCCAACTAGTGCTATTTTTCATATATTTGGCGAATCTGATGATAGAGGAATATATTTGGTGCATAGAGTTTACATCTGTTCAGATTTAGAACCTCCTGTCGATGTGGATAACATATGCAAGCTAGAGATACATGCTATTGCTAATCATATTATCTCGAGTTTGTCTACTTTTCATTGGATCAAACAGGGTGTTTTAAATGGACCACGCGATGAGCACCATATGGAAAAACCAAGGACGGTTTTCCGTGAAGACGAGGAGGATGATGTGACCGTGGCTACTATCGATGCAACCATAGCTCACATCATGGATTAACAATATCTTATCAAGATCAAGTCCTCCAAGTGTTGGAATCTGATTCGGCCACCTGCTATACTGCTGATTTCAAAGGGCCGCCGAATCTGCATACGACCTTCATTTTCGGCCCATGAGTACTTGATGGAAAGCTCTCGGAGTCCTTTTTCCAATGGATCCAGCCTCATCGCCAAATTCCATCCAAGTCATCCGCAGATGAAGAAACAAGGTGCTACGTCACCTGTCATGGGCCTTTGGACTTGTAACTTCGTTTGGGACCCTGGCCCAAGTGGGGCCCATGTGGGCTGCGCCCCAACCAGGTGGAGCACGACCCTAGGACCCTCTTGGTCATTCTCCCACCCCTATAAGTAGCTAGGTACCCCTTTAGGGTTTCTTGGGTTTTGTTTAGATGAAAGTTTAGCTTTGCTACTTTGCCGGGTAATCCCGTGATCAGTTAGATCGCCGGTTTTCTCGTTATGGAACCCCAACCTATCATTTGTATTCAATTCCTATCTACAATTCAGATTGCTTTTATCTTGTTCTTGCTTATTCCTTCGATTTGCTTGTAGGAATAAGGTTGATCTGCACTGATAAGATCAACAACCCACGGAAATGTGTAACGATCGCTAAGGCACAACACAACAACGTCTAGTACGGTTGTAGTCGGGTCGTCAACGTTTCTCCCAAATCGTAGTTAACATCAACTCACCAAAATATCGGGCCAACAACAGCCTTGAGTGCTAAGAGGACCTCAGGGTTCATCATCCTCATGAAGTGATTGGACAACCACGACAAACGGCCACAAGGCACCGTCAAGTCCTTGGACTCACATGTCTCGTGTGAGGTCTGCGGCGGCACGGGTCATTCTGAGAATGACTGCCCGGAAACCCGTGAGGCGATGTACATGGGCAACAACAACAACGGGTATTGTCCACAAGGAGGTCAGGGGTGGAACCAGCCACGCCCATACTATCAAGGAGGTAACAATAACGGTAACTTTTCTAACCAGCCCTCCTTGAAGGATCTCACCTTTGCGCAAGCTAAAACCACTGATGCTTTAAGCAAAAAGCTAGCTGCGAATGACAAGGTCCTAGAGAACTTTAATGTTAAGCTAGATGGCTTTGCTTCTGCTTTTCAAAACCAGCTGAGCTTCAATAAAATGATAGAAACCCAGCTAGCTCAATTGGCTTCATTAGTACCTGCAAATGAATCTGGGAGGATTCCGGGGCAGCCCGACTCCTCCATTGAAAATGTCAAGGCAATCACAATGAGGGGAGGTAAGTCCACTCGTGAATCCCACGAAGTGTGCTTTTGGCGTATCGGCTGGGCAATTTTTGGGTTTTCTTGTTCATGAGAGGGGAATTGAAGTAACTCAGAGGAGCATTAATGCAATCAAGAAGATTAAACCCCAGAGGACAAGAAGCAGCTACAGTCGTTGATCGGCAAGGTAAATTTTGTTAGAATGTTTATTTCTAATTTATCTGGGAGATTGGGAACTTTTACACCTTTGCTAAGATTGAAAGCCGATCAAGAATTCACTTGGGAGGCAAAGCAATAGAAGGCTTTAGACAATATTAAGGAATATCTTAGTTCCCCTCCAGTTTTAATTCCTCCACAGAAGGGAGTGCCTTTCAGGTTGTATTTATCAGCCGATGAGAAGTCAATCGGCTCAGTTTTGATTCAGGAGCTTGAAGGCGAGGGAAGGGCTATTTTCTATTTAAGTCGCAGGCTCTTGGATGCAGAAACAAGGTATTCTCCGGTGGAGAAGTTATGCTTGTGTTTATACTTCTCTTGCACAAAGTTAAGGCAATATTTATTATCCAACGAATGCACTATAGTATGCAAAGCCGATGCTATCAAATACAAGTTGTCGGCTCTGGTTTTGAAAGGAAGAGTTGTGAAGTTGATATATGCTTTGACGGAGTTTGATCTTCAGTACGAATCACCTAAGGCAGTGAAGAGACAGGCTATAGCCGATTTTATTATGGAGCATCGTGATGATTGAATCGGCTCGGTTGATATTGTACCTTGGACTTTATTCGATGGATCGGTTTGCACTCATGGTTGTGGTATCGGTTTAGTTATAATTTCTCCTTGGGGGGCAAGTTTTGAGTTTGCTTATACTATCAAACCCTATGCATCTAACAATCATGTTGAGTATGAACCAGTTCTCAAGGGGTTGCAGTTGCTAAAGGAGGTCGAAGCCGATGCTGTTGAAATCATGGGGGATTCCTTGTTGGTGATCAGTCAATTGGCAGGAGAATATGAATGCAAGAATAATGTGTTGATGGTCTACAACGAGAAGTGCCGAGAATTAATGGACAGTTTTCGGCTGGTAACCTTGAGTCATGTCTCTCGGGAGCAGAATGTTGAAGCTAATGATTTGGCTCAGGGGGCATCAGGATACAAGCCGATGGCGAAGGATATTGACGTAGAGGTCGCTATGATTGCAGCCGATGAATGGAGGTATGATGTGTATCAGTATTTGTAGAATCCGTCTCAATAGGCTTCACAAAAATTGCGCTATAAGGCTTTAAAATATACCTTGTTGGATGATGAGCTATATTGTCGGACGATTTATGGGGTGTTGCTTAAATGTTTAAGTGTCGATCAAGCTAAAGTTGTGATGGGAGAAGTGCATGAAGGTATATGTGGTACTTATCAATCGGCTCATAAGATGAAGTGGTTGCTTCGGCGTGCAGGGTATTTTTGGCCAACAATGTTAGAGGATTGCTTCCGATATTACAAAGGGTGTGAAGATTGTCAGAAGTTTGGAGCAATTCAGAGAGCGCCAGCATCGGCTATGAATCCTATCATCAAGCCATGGCCATTCGGAGGATGGGGTATGGATATGATCGGTCAAATCAATCCACTTTCAAGCAAAGGACATAAGTTCATATTGGTGGCAACCGATTATTTCACCAAGTGGGTAGAGGCGATTCCGTTGAATAAAGTTGATTCATGGGATGCTATACAGTTTGTCAAGGAACATATTATCTACCGATTTGGTATTCCTCAGACTATCACAACCGACCAGGGATCGATTTTTGTATCATATGAATTTGTTCAGTTTGCCGATAGTATGGGTATCAAGTTGTTGAATTCTTCGCCATATTATGCGCAAGCTAATGGGCAAGCCAAGGCATCTAATAAAAGTTTGATCAAACTGATTAAGAGAAAGATTTCTGATTTTCCTTGGCAATGGCATACAAGATTAGCTGAAGCATTATGGTCTTATCGGATGGCTTGCCATGGATCGATTCAAGTTCCTCCTTATAAGCTTGTTTATGGACATGAAGCAGTTATGCCATGGGAAACTACAATTAGCTCAGGAAGAATAGATTTACAGGATGAGTTGACAGCCGATGAGTATTATAATCTTATGGTAGATGAAACAGAAGATCTAGTTCAGTCCAGATTAAGAGCTCTTGTAAAGGTGACCAAGGATAAGGAACGAATTGCCCGCCATTATAATAAAAAAGTGGTGCCCAAGTCTTTTTCAGAAGGGGAGTTGGTTTGGAAATTGATCTTGCCAATAGGGACTCATGACAATAAATTCGGCAAGTGGTCACCGAATTGAGAAGGACTGTTTCAGATCTACAAAGTTGTATCCAAAGGGGCTTATATGTTGCAAGGACTTGATAGCGAAGTTTATGGACGAGCGCTTAATGGCAAGTACTTGGAGAAATATTACCCAAGTGTATGGATTAAATCATGATCGGATGATGTTTGCCGATACATGTTAGCCGATGTGGTGACATCGCCTTCAGATGGCCGATATAGATTATATCGCCCTTAGTGGTTTTTTCTTGTCATAATCGGCTGTGCTTTGCCGATGTATGATGGCCGATATTTGATATATCGCCCTTAGTCTAAATTATAATTTTATCAATGTCTTCAACATTGCAAAATTAGGGAGGCATATATATATGAAACATGGATTTCAAAAACAAAAACAAAAGGCAAAAGTTCTAAACTTGGAATGCATTACATCCCAAAAGTTTGCAAATTTAAAATTGAAGTTACAAGATTTAGCTCGTCCAGACACATATTTTTGATAGCCGATATTGCCTTTTGCCTAATCTGATCTACTTCATCTATTATTTGGGCATCGGTTGCATCAGTGCTTGAGATCACCTTCAGAGATTTGGACAGGTCGGTCAAGTGCTTGACAGATGCTTTTAATTTTGACTTTTGATCTTCAATGGCTTTTGACAAGTCGGCAAGCTTTTTGTTCTTCAAGAGCAATCTATGCACTACATTGCTCTAACTCAGCCAAGAGCTCTATCCTCCGGGCATTCAGCCGATTGATGTTAGTTTGAGTAGAACTCGGACCGGCCTCTAATTCATCAAGTTTGGCTTTCTATTTGTTGATAGAATCCCTGCTAACTTGGATGGTCGCCTAAAGGTCCCTTCTCTCACGATGATCGGCAATCCTCTATTTGGCTTTCTCGAGTTTGAGCCAATGTTGCTCAAGGTATGCCGCTGGGGTAATGGCATCGGCTAACTCGTCTGGAGTTTTATCATGGACTTCATGAAATCTATCTCTAATGGATCCACAGCTGGTTACCAGAGTTTCCAAAGAGCCTTCCAGCCGTTTTGAAATGTCCAACAGGGTTGCTTTTACATCATCGGCTAGAGGTACCAAGGCTTTGCTTGTGGTTTCTTCTTCTTCGTCCATGAACTGCCTGATGCCAAAGGAGAACATATCGGCTAAGACCTGAAAAAGGGTATGAGCATATCTGATCAGTTAGAGTCACATGGCAGCCGATATGATTTACAAATTGAAAACAGGAACTCACGAGGATAGCTGGGGCTGGTGCTACTATTTCTTCTTCTTCCTCTATGTGATGTTTTCCTGCAGCCGATTGAGTGTGCTCACTTGATTCGAGAACAGGAGTTGGAGAATGACGAGCCTGAGAAGAACCAATTTAAGTTAGCATCAGTTAGTTAAAAGTTGATAAGAAAATTTGATGGGACTTAGAGATTTAACCGGTGGAGTCGGTGCTTGTGGTTTTTTAGAAGCCAACTTCATTTTCTGCAAAGAACAAGATTAGGAATTGGCATTAAATATTAAAGCAACAGATGGAAGAGAGCAAATACATACCCTTGGTTTGTAAGTGGGACGTACTGGAGGTGATGGAGTTCTTTGAGGAGCAGGAGGATCGGCTGGATGTGTTTGCTCCCTTGTTTCACTAATGATGTTAGCAGCATCATCCATGGCTTCTGCTACTTCTTCATTCGCCAGGAATTCTTCTACATCCGGATCTATGGTTGGTATGTCATCGGCAGCTTCTGCTACTTCTTCATTCTCCAGGAATTCTTCTACATCCGGATCTATGGTTGGTAGGTCATCGGCAGCAGTCTTTTGCTTCTTAGGTTTCTTTCTTGCAGCCGATGGAGCAGCAGCCGATTTTGTTCTTTTCTTCTTGCCAACGTTAGGGGCTATCGGCACACAAGGCAGACCGTGCAGCAGCGTTGAGGTCTTGGGGGCATGATAGCCGATGACTGGGGGAGCTGGACCACCACCGTTGGGAAGGAGTCCTGGAGCATATTGGATTTCTACGCAACTTTCGCTGTGATGGGAAGGGGACGATTCTATTGTCTGCAAAAAGAAAAATTTAAAGATTAAGATTGATCAATCGGCTTAAAATTGACAGAATTGACAAAGAGAAAAAACTCTTACTTGAGGGAAAGCTTCAGGGAATAGATCTAGCAAATACATTGAAGCCGATTGATGGAACAAATGTTTCTTCCACTCTATCCACCATCGGTCAAAAGCTGCACTCCTCAACATCCTCAGCTTAATATTGTTGATACTGCCTAAGGGTGGTCCTAGAATGTTCAGTAGCCGATCCATCATAAGTGCCGATGATATTTCTCCCCTGCTTTGGATCTTGTCGGCAAAAAACAAACGGATCGGTAGTTGGTCCATGCCTAGTTGCCTGGCAGCACTTGTCGGATGGTAGAACTCATAAGATATATGGATATTCTTGCCTTGATAGATGCCGACAGGAAGTATGCAAGGGCTGATGGCTGTTGAAAACACTTCTCTGGATTTATCATATTTTTCGGAATTGATCTCATCAAACCGAAAATCACTCAGCAGTTCAAAGGTGCCAAATCCTTCATATGCAAAACCGGAAATGACAATCCTTTCTATGGTCTATACTAAATTACTTTGTACGAATGCACATCTCGGTGGGCGTCGGGTAGATGCTCACCATTTCAATGTCTATATCTGTGGTTCCAGAAGTGGAATTGCTATTCTCGATTCAGACAAGACACTGATTTGTTTACGAACCGCTCTTCATTTTATAGGATCTCCCATTCGTAAAAAATGCTTCTTTGGAAATCCATCATAGAAATTATTGAACCATTCTCTGAAAGGTTCAACCGACAGCTTGGATGCGGTGTTGGTGGATGCTGCTTCTCCAAAGGACACATACATCGGCGTGTGGTGATTTCTTCTCCATCATCATCAATGGTCGGCTCAAACCTTGGGAATTTTGCATCCGGTAGGGATGGCCGATAAACAACCTTCCTAGTGTGCAAGTTCAGCCAGATCTGAAGCAGCCACCAGGGACCTCCTGTGCCGATTGATAGTCCAAAGGCTATTTTGGTTACTGCAGTACTCAGAGTCTGATACAAATAGCCTAAGAGATACTTTCCAAGAGGGAATTGTTTCTTCTCCACCAGATTTTCGGCTATGTGTTGCCAGTTGACAGTAGGACCATAGCTTGGGCCACAAAACATAAATTTTTCTAGCCACATCAGGAGGAAAGCTGCATGTTCCCTTGGGCTTACTAGCCTAGTGCCCATGTTCTCCGCAACAAAGCCTGACCAGCCACATATGCTCCTGGTCTTGAACTCAAAGGTGGGTGCTGTATTCAAGCTGACTGGGTTAGCCGATGAGGTAATATCCAAACCAGTTATTATTGTAACATCCAGGAGGGCGGGGGTCATTGGTCCTTGGGAGAAAAGGAAAGTATTCATAGCGGTGGACCAAAAGTAAGTTGCAGCTGTCATCATAGGTTCATCCTTAGCCATATCTGCCAATTTCTTCCCAGTGGGTTAGTTTGTTAGCCAATACTCTCATATACCAGGTTGGCCAACTTTTTTCGGCTGATGGCCAGGATTTGAAGGTGTTCTTCCAGAGGCTTAAGTTGGGGTTAGAAAATCTAAAGGGGATCCGATTGGTTTCGCCATTGATGAACTCAGTGGGGGTCTAGATTGCCGATTGGGCCAAGGAAAAACTGATGCTCATCGGTTATGCTGGGAACTGCAATTTGATGAGAAAGATGCTACAGAGGAAGAAAATCAAAGATTGAGTGAAGGGATGACCAATCTTGTGCGAAAAAGAGGGGATTTAGCCGATGGTACTTACCTCAACGTAGTTGGCGGTTGGTGCGCTCGAGGGGTCGGTGGAGGTCGACATTGTCGGTGACGGAGGTTGGTGCAGCAAGGAATCGCTTGCGAGATGGCCAGAAAGCTCAAAAATGTCGCCGGAGAGCTCGAGGAAGAGATTGGGGAAAGTTTTGGCTAGAGCGGTTAAAACGGAAGCTGACGCCATGAAAAGTGCAAAGCGGTGGTTACTATTTAAAAGAGAGCCTAGTTATACTCTGAAAAGGAGATTGAGCAAATCCGCAACATTACCAATATAGCGGACTTGGGGGGCATGTGTTAACAACCAAATTTGGTAAGATATGAACCAGGTTCGGTATTAGGATCAAAGTGGATTTGGCAAAGAGTTAGATTTGAAGAACAGAGTATGCATCGGCTGTGAAGGCATCGGCTGGATTTTGTATCGGCTGAAGCAAATCGGACAGAGGATAGCCGATACGACTGATTCAACCGATACAGCCGATTTTGCTGAAGACAGTTGTGAAACTGCTTCTGGGATCGATCAACGTGCTACACAAGGATTGCCACGATGGAGATAAGCCTCAGAGAAGCAATTGTATCTATTAATTAGGATATTTTGAGTAGTTTCCTTAGAGATATGTTTGGGCAAAAGTCTACCGTAAAGACTTATGTGTATCTTAGAGTTTGTTAGAGATAAAAGTCTTGTCCGGCAAGGACATATCATGTATCTCGGGTATAAATATAACCTGAACCCATATAATTTACAACCATAGTTCAATAACACTTTCGGCACATCGCCAGCCTTTTTTACTTTCGTTCTATTTTGACGACTTCTTGCTTTCGGGTTGAGCTGCATCGATTCCGATCTTCAACTAGAGGTAAACTTGTCATGACGGCTTGCGTTTTCGGGATTAGTGTTTCCATCTTTATGACACTCTAATCTTGTTTATGTAATTCGTCGAGTTATCATATATACCTCATAATATGTATTAGTTGCGCTATATAACTTGTGATCGGCTGGTTTTACTGTTAGAAAGTAGTCGATAGAGTTATGTCTCGTTATTAATATAGATTATATCGTGTATCTACCATCTCTCATAGGTTTTCATTATCTTGCTTAGATCTTACAGTTATCGTTATTCTTAATGACGTATCGGTTGAGTTCGATCTATTAAGTTCTATCTATAATTGTGATATCTATCCTGTTTCATGATCATTAATAGAGAAAGTATCGGAGTTTTAGCCGATCTTACTTGATTTAGCTACTTTATATCTCGTATGCTTGATTGATATGCTAGATCCGCCCTTTATATTAAGATCTTATCATATTAAGGTATATTAGGCTTCTTGTTTAATATATTTTGCTTGTTTTGATATCTTAATATAGAGTGGTATCGGAGTATTAGCCGATACATGCTAGATCTATCTGATCAGCTATGCTATAAACATTTATATAATCATGATCTTGATGTATCTTTAGACCTAAGTGATTTATACTGTCTCGACATGTTGGTCGATCTATCCCAATCACTTAGTTTAAATATACATCGAGAGAAAGATTATATATCGTTAATATCTATAGCCGATCGAGTAGATTTAGTTTTATATTGCTTTATTCATCGTTGCCGATCTAATGTCAATAACATCGGCTTGACGATTGACGATATATCATCGGCTCCTAGCCGATCAGCTCTCGTTTATGGATTTAACCTCGATTTTCTTGTCTTTTATTCTTGTTGATTGCAGGATCAAAACAACTGACACGCTCACGAATCTAAAAGCAAGATTTTGAATATGCACAAGAGTTAAGCAGATCTTCTAGGCCAGTGTATTTTTTTTCATCAACATGTGGTTGGTGACTGCGATCGTGATTGTCTTCTTGCCAAAAAAAAAAGTTACCAACAGTAGTGTGAGGCTCAAAATGATCCTCTTTGCTTACTGAATGCGGTGAAACTTTCAACACAAGTAGAGAGCCCTCTTCAATTGTTTCAGGGCCAAGGTACAACAATCTTCGTTTAATTAACCTAACGGCTTCACTTTCCTGAATATAAGAGAGATCCATAAATTTTCTGAAGCATAAGACAAATTTTTGTAGTTGGAATCAAAACTTTCAAATCAAAGTAAAAGGTACACTATATTCGCAAAAATAGTTGTGAATTCAGAAAACATCCACGAGATTCATTTGAGTGAATAATGAGATGGACACAAATCTGATATTCACGACACTAATAATGCAACGCAACTGTCTATATTGGCAGTGCTGGCAACGATGCTATTGCAGCTTAATGTTTACGAGATTGATGAAAACCGAATTTTACGAAATCCGGGTTTCCGGACCGGGTTGAAAACACGAACAGCCCAAGTTCTCTATTGGCAATTTCAAGAATCCGTTATTTCGCTGTTTCCACTGTCGCTTTAGGTAGACTAGTAATATATGCCTGTACTAGCGTTACGGTAATATTTGAATTATATTTCGCTGTTTCCACTGTCGCTTTAGGTAGACTAGTAATATACCTGTACTAACGTTACGGTAATATTTGATATAATTCATCCTTCAACCAAAAGACAATATTTGATATTTGATACTATTGTCGGAGCACATTTTATTCCTTGCAAGTAAAATCATAGGCAATACCACAATATGTTATGCTTTATAAGTCAAATTTCATACAGATGAAACAAACAAAGGCAAGACCAACAAAAATGGTTGTTATGCAGTACTTTCTGTAGATAAAAAAAAGCCTTCGCTAGACAAATAAAGATGACAGATCCTATGAGTGGGAAGAAATAGTACCATCCTCTCTCCTGTTGCAAGCCCACCTCGGGATAACCTCGTTAAGACCGTGCAGAATAAGCTGCTTACCTTTCCTGATTAGTTTCTTATAGTTGCCCAAGCCAAATAATATGGGCACTAAAGATAACGATAACCTACATGCACATGGTAAATATTCCAATCAAGCGGTATAGTAGCTGAGAAACAACTCTGATAAATAAAAAATGAGTACAGCTCTAACAATATTGAGAGAGTTCACCTAAGAGGCTTTCATGCACACACCGTGATTACCATATCTCCACTCGCTTGACACAGTGTTGTCCAAAGAAATAGACAGCTGGTGCTTATGTTGTGTCAAGGGTTGTACAACATCAGATTGAGGTGCTTGGGAACTTAACCCATCCTCAAAACGTGGTCACAAAAAGTCTGAACTATAGAATACAACAAATATGAGGAAAACTGGAGCCTTTTGCAGGATTTTTTTTAAAAAAATCATATGTTAATGCAATGCAAGAAGTCTGTACTCGTTGTGAGCTCTTCTTTGTACTCACAATTCCTTTTCAGAAGTTCTCCCTTGCAATGCTCTTGCAATCCCAGATTTTTTTTCCAACTCTAAGGTAGCCTAAACATACAAAAGATTACAATTATCCTCTCTAAACAACTAAAATATCATTTGTGGTGCTACAACAAGCTTACAAATTGACTACAACAAACTGTGTTGTTGCATCCTATGCATCCTTACCTTGCCAATTTATTTTCGTGGAGAAGAACCTGTTCTTGAACTGTACTGTGTCCACTTCATACTTTTGGTTACAGGGAATTGTTGCACTCCCTACAGTGAGAACTCAGGTCCATATTAAGGCTAAAAGATAAGTACAAATGTCCCACCATCTCCATAGGTTGCCTCCTCTTGCAAAGATGGAAAAAAAACTATTACCAGCTCATTACAGTGCTTCAATAATCCCATTGCAATGCCATAGTACTAACTGTGCCATCCATCAGAACTTCAGAAAAAAGCTGAGAACTTGTTGTCTTCTCAAAACCAGAAACTAAGAATAAAATCCTCCCATCAGTAAACTATTATATGTGAAAGTATCAATACTTCATGTAAAACTTTTGTTTGTTGAGAAAACCACTAACTAAAAATAGAATCATCCTATCAGTAAATATAAACCGGTAAAACATGAGACACATGATTCAGTGAATTTACAGCCTACTCTTTGCAATACAAACTGCATTTGGCTATTCAGACAACATGGTTCAGTGTTTTATTGTATAGCATACTAAATGGAATCACACATCAATGAGGAAAGCAAGAAGAGGAACCTACCAACCTTGTGGACAACAGTGTCACCGAGGAAGAACTTCTCGGTGAATCGAATCTGCCGATGCTTACAACCATTGCCGATCCTGCAGAGTCATGAAATCTTTATCACCTATCACCAGATTAAAACATAGAAACCGAAATCATGGAAAAAATAACTTTAACATATCATATGCAACCAGATTCTCCATGATTACAGCCCCGAATCATCGAGAAACCAAAACCTCCCCAAGTTCAGCGACAGACAAACAAACAGACAAGGGGCAGATCATCCAAGAAACAAAGAGGTATGGATTATTCTTTTTCATATGCATACACTGCTGTTACAAAAATTAAGAAAGTCTGAAACAAAACTTCTAAAAGGTAGAATTATAAATTTAGAAGTACCTTCAAAATGACATGATCATTCCATGGTCTCAGTTAGCCCGTTCCTATAATACACAACAAGGCAAAGGGACTATGAAGCAATCAACGCGAGAGAAAACATCATACATGTAGCACAAATCTACAGCTAGAATCCAAAATTTCCTTCATTTCCCTAGGTAGCATCAAAAGCAAAACATTTGATATAGTTCACTCCATATAGAAGCCCTCCAGGGCGAGAAGATATAATTTGCAGTGTATCCCCTGATTCGGTTTGATCATTCCGTAAAAAAGAAAAATACCTGTAGCCTTTAAATGCGATGAAACAATGTAATTTTCTGGTGTCATAGAATTAATAACTGATATACTTGACTAAACAAGTTCCAATTCTGTTATTTCATCAACATGGTTCAGAAACGAACTTAATAAAACTCTCTAAAAAAGCTACTAATCACTGACACCACCAAGCTAGTAGCTGAACTACTCAATAAAACTCTACAATCGCTAACAACCAGATGACAACCACCTACTGGCCAATATTTGCAAAAACTGCATTATGCTAGTCCAGATCAAATCATGCATAGTCATATATGGAGTATGGATATTTATTTAACTAAACGTTGCTGTCACAGAAAAAGGGAACATAATTGGAAGCTGCACGTTGAGCCAAGAACATGATAAAAACACACACCATTTTTATGCAAACAGGCATATAATTATGCTAGTCAAGATCAAATCAGTACAGGGTGATATGAACGCAGAAAGGCACTCACAGTGGTGGAACTTGTGACCGCACCACTGCCTCGCCGTAGACCTCCTGTCTGAATATGTATGCTAGGTCCTGATTCAAGTGACTGGACAAAAAAAGAAGGAAATAATGATTCAATCATTTGTGGTCACAGTCAAAGTTCAGACAATTTATGAAATGGAGCTATCTCTGAAATTCAGGTTGGGATAAGAAGCTGGCAGTGTGGGCGGCAATTAGACGACTTCACTTCGTGTACATTCAGAGGTTTTAACTTTGTTATATACATATTCTGAAATATACAGGACATTATATCCATAGCAAGGGTAAATTATCATTGATTCATAGATGGCAATCGTCGCCATTTGTTCATTTTATTCCATGAATAATGGTGTTTACTGCATTAGTTTTTTTTTCTAAACATGTAAATTATAACAGCATCATATTCTTTGTTCTTATCCATTGCAGCATATGTGTTGCTTGGATTAACAAAAGACAGATCGATATTTGAGTTGCTCTAAAGGGTAGATTAGTTGAACTCAATTATTATAGGGCCGACGAAAAATTCGCCTGCACAGAGCAAATGTTAGACCACAAAGCCCTCACAAATTTGTCCTAACCTAATCAAAACAGAAGGCACAAGCTAAGCCCCAGAGGAGGCATAACTGATTTCGCCATACCAGAGGAAGCAGGAGTCACGGGGGCGAGCTCGCCGGGATCCCTACGAAGCCCGCGGAGCAGCCTTTCCTCCTCCTAGAAGTGTGGTGATATTGCCAATTGAGGCTACTGAGAAATTTTTGCTTGTCAAGCTGGCTAAAATTATTTTGAACAGATATAATTAGACAGGGTTGTATATATGCATGCAATTCTAATACGAAATATCAGAGACTATTCTTGAAAAGAACGTGAAGAAAATGAATTGAATTACTCAGATTCTGTGGATAGTTTAATTAAACACGCAATATCTTTCTTTCAGTTAATTCTGAATTAATGCGTTCTTAATAGGAAAATCATTCACACTGCAAGTTAAACTAAAGGAAGCAATGAATTGTCCGATCATGTTGGCAGTCCATTATTTCTCCGCTGTATTCAGCACACATCACGTGCAGGAGAAGGAGACTGGACCCCAAGCCAACACAGTACACGTGAACCCTTTGTAGATCAAGAACCAGATTACATTGAAATTGAATACTCCTAAAAAAACCATTGTTCGATCTAATAACAGTGCTAAATTAATACTCCTAAAAAAACCATTGTTAGATCTAATACATTGTCACAAGATTATACATTATATTATGCTTCATTTCGTTAAACACACAACCGAACTACCTGATGTTTGAGAGACAATAAAACCTAAGTACCTGATATCTTATCACCTACCATTTCTTAGTGAGAAAAATGACTCGAAATTCAACAGAACACTACAATGCATGCGAACAGTACACCACCGTAGGCAGGGGATTGAAATAAGACCTGAGGGGAGTAGCCTCGCCGTAGACCTCAGTAGTGTCAACACAGACCGAGAAGCAGATTGGGCACTGGACCACTGTCACCGACGCGAGGTCATCCCCGGCGAGGCAGCTGCGTGTGGCGGGGATAGGGCGTCAAAGAGGGTGGAGGCAATCGACGGCGGCGGTGATGGCGAGGCGAAGGGCGATGCGCGGAGGCGCGGGCTGCGTCGGGGCGGAGGAGTGGGCGGTGTCGGCGGAGAGGTGAAGGGCGTCGGCGGCGCGACGGTGAAGATCGGCGGCGGCGCGTGAGGGGGATAGAGGGATTAATCGACGGTGCCGAGGGTGGTGCCGCCGGGGAGGCGAAGGGCGAGGTGCAGCGTGGGCAGCGATGGCGATTATCAGCATGGGCGGCGATGGCGGATTATCGGCGGCGGCGCGTGAGAGGGGAAGAGGAGGGATTAGGGTTGGGGGAGGAGGCGCAGGTCGGGCCATCCGGCCATCGGGGTGGGGAGGGGCGCGCGGGTCAGGGTGGGGTGAATCCGGAGCGTTGGATCGGAGTGAGGTAATCTGAACCTTGAGTGATGAATAAGGGTGTGTTTGAGTGAGGTAATCTGAACCTTGAGTGATGAATAAGGGTGTGTTTGAGGAGAAGGGGATTAGGGAGATTGGGAAGATACGCAAAACGAGGTGGGCCATTAGCATATGATTAATTGAGTATTAACTATTTTAAATTGCAAAAATGGATTAATATGATTTTTTAAAGCAACTTTCCTATAGAAATTTTTTACAAAAAACGCACCGTTTACTAGTTTGGGAAGCGTGCGCGCGGAAAACGAGGAGCTTTCTCACCCAATGTCACTGGAACGAACACAGCCTAAAAGAATGAAAGAATGAGTGAAAGTATTTGTTGAACTATAGGGTAGAAAAAAATTACAGAAATAAATTTGAAAATATACTTTATTTTTTTATATTTTGCGTTTATATACCTGGCTGTGATTAATTTGCAAAAATATACCCAATCCGCGGAATGGTTGCGCGGGAGCGAGGACGAACCAGCCGGTCCCGCAGGCCGGGGATGCGGTACCGTGCCGGTCCCGAGGGCCGGGAGAGCGCGGCAAAGCTCCCGCATGCCGATGTGCGGGACCGGCGCTCCCACATGCCGCCCCCATCTCGGTTCCCGAATTGGATCCGATCTCCTATGCACGGAAAACAGAGTAGGCCATTAGCACATAGTTAATTAAGTATTAGTTAATTTTTTCAAAAATTGATTAATATGATTTTTTTTAAACAACTTTCGTATAGATACTTTTTACAAAAATTACACCGTTTAGAAGTTTGAAAAGCGTGCGCGCGGATGAGTTGGAAAAATTAGGAGAAGAACACATCTCAAAGAATACGCGCCTGCTCGGTTCCGCGCGTTGGAACCGCGGGACAGCGTCGTTCCCGCGCCACCGTTCTGTGGCACCGCCACATTCGACTCGGTCCCGCAGTCCAGTTGTGCGGTACCGGCTCGGTCGTGCATCCCGATACCGCGTGACCGGCTCGGGTTCCGCTTCCGATCCCCAGTCCACAGTTCATCCTCGCTCCCGCGCTTCCGTTCAGCGGATTGGATATATTTTTGCAAATTAATCACAGCCAGGTATATAAACGCAAAATATGAAAAAATAAAGTATAAAATTACACACGACGGCAGTCCTAGCCCATCTGAAGGACTTTGCTGGCATGCTCTCTCCTTCTTCCCATCACATTAGTCTCCTCTTCAATCCTCCGTTACTTCTCTTCCTCAAAGCTCGTTCTTTTGAATGATCACTGCTATACATACTATAAAATGTTACGATCAGTGTAGGATGCTCTCAGTCTCTGGTAGGGTTGGGCATTCGGTCAGACCAAAAAATTCAATCTCGGTTTTCGGTCTTCTAGAAATTTCAGTCATAAAAAATTAGGGACAGATCGGTGTTGAAAAATAATGAAGACCAAGAAATTAGGTGTCGGTTAATTCGGCTTCGTCTTGGTCATGGCCAAAATTTCAGAAGGTCCAAAATAATCAGCCAAGGCTCTAATACATAAAAAAATCACAAATAGACTCTCTTCACTATTATGGGTCACAAATCAAAGCATGTTGGAGGCTAAAATTGGGTCAAAATTCGATTTAATTGGATTGTTTGGCCATTGTTCGGACAAAATTTGGTCTTTTAACACCTGAGACCAAACTAGTGACCGAATTTCCCGGTCTCGGTCTTTTGGTCTTGGTCCTGGTCTTTTGGATTCGATTTTTCGGTTCGGTCTTTTTCTACTCACCCCTAGTCTCAGCCCATCATGTTTCCATGGCCCAACCGTTAATCACGCAAGACAGGACGGTAACAAAAATGTAGCAAGTTTATTGTAGCATAGCGATTCCGTTTTGATGCTTACAGAATGCACAATGCTCAAATTACGTTCCAGAACAATACATATGGTCGTGATGCCGAACAAAGATTGGGTTTGGGTGTGATTATACCAAGCCAAGAGAAAAAAAGTATCACGCAGGATGAAGTAGCAGCGCGAGAGCCTCGATCTCTCCTGCTTCTTGCGTCGGATCCGATCAGAGGGAAGAGGGATCGGAAAGAGTCCTGGCTTACCCTAGATCGGATTTTACTCGGCACGAATTCGAATAGGAGGTAATCTCAATCTTATTATCTTAATAATATATACTCTGTTCTTGCATCATCGATCCGCGCTTATATAAATTATCTACTGTTTCTCTCGGCCACTAGCTCCACCTCCACGGCGTGGCGTGCAAAGGTTTTCTCCTTCCCTGTGGTTTGATTTCTACTAGCTACTAGCATTAGCTAGAGTTGTGCCAGGTTAGGGCTACCACAGGTTTCCTCCAGTGATCTCGAGTTCTCGACATATATAATTTCTAGCTGTTGCAGCTGTTATTTTTTTTATCCTTCTGTTGCTCTTAGGTTGTTAGTCTAGTTGTTAGGTCTTGGTTCTTTTATGTTCTTGTAATGTTAGAAAACCCTAATAGTGATGTAAGAACTCCTTATTCTTTCAATTAAAGGAGGCAGCTGCCTTCTATCTATTTTTTTTTAGAGAACGACGGCAGGAGATCTGCCGGAATTTAACATTAGAAGAGAAAAAAAATTCAAAGTAGCACAGAGGTTCAGAGGTTACAAGCCAAGGAATGAAAAGAGAATTATAGCTGCAAGAAAAAATAAAAAAAATCATGGGGGTTTAAAGGCCAAGCAGCGCATATCAATAGCTTTCTTGATAAAATAAGCTACTTCAATATCTGAACAGGAAGAGTTTTGGAAAATTCTTCTATTTCTTTCCAACCAAATATTCCACCAAGTAGTTAGAAGAGTTCCCCTGACCAGCTGCACAACCTTCTTAGAGCCTGCAAATTTGGTTCCAGACCACCATGTTGACACATCCAGGACAGGATTTATTCCGACCGAAGACAAGTTTTGGAATTGACAAATTAGGGTCCACACTTGTCTGACAAATACACAGTCACTGAACAAATGATTTGTATCTTCAAAGGCACAACCACAAAGGCAACATATCCAAGCGGAGCAGATTTTGGGTAGTCAAAGTTTTTTGATGGAGAACTAGCCAACCAAAGAATTTTATTTTTGGTTCAGTTGGGGATTTCCATAGAGAATCAAACTCATTGGTGGCAAATGAGCCTTCGAACTGGAAAAGGTAAGCACTCTTTGTTGTGTAGACGCCAGACTCGGTCCAATTCCAGGTGATGTCATCAGGATCCTGGGAAAGCGAGACCAATTGGAGTAAGCCACCAAGCTGTACCAAATCATGAATTTGTTCCACGGAAGTGAATTGTCTGAAGGAAGGAAGTGAGCCATCTATTATCTCGCATTTCCATCTGAACTGTTCTTTGCTTTCTCTTTGCCAGGCTAAAACAACTGGGCACAATATCTTTTAAACAACGGTGTTGGATCCAATTATCATGCCAGAAGCTAGTTTTTGCTCTGTCACCAATCGTTATTGTCGTTGCCGCTTGAAAGAGTCTTGTGTCCATCTCATCGCAAGGCACATTCATGCCTACCCAGGGTTTATCAACTTCTTTCCACTTGAACCAGAGCCAGCGGAGTTGGAGTGCTCTAGAGAACCTGTCCAGATCCGGTAGGCCTAACCCTCCTAAGCTTTTCGGTTTGCAAACAGTTTGCCAATTGACTAGACTATCACTTGGATTTGAATGATTAGGGTCTTCGCCCTTCCACAGAAAAGATCTTCTGAAACGGTCGATTCTTTTGAAGACCCATTTTGGCGCATGAAGGATTGTAAGATGATGCATCGGCATAGCACTCAGAACCGAGTTAACTAGGGTTTGATGACCTGCAGAGGTAAAGAAGCGACCTTTCCAAGCTGGTAGTCTGGCCCCAATCTTGTCTATAAGAGGAAGGAAATCAATTTTCCTTAATTTCCTGAAGTGGAGCGGGAGGCCTAGGTAGCGGCAAGGGAAATTCTTGATCTGCCCTGGCCAGCAGGCAAGAAGCTGTTGCATGTCGATTCCATTGCAACTCATGGGGAAAATCTCAGTTTTGTTGATGTTAGAATGTAAACTAGAAATTTGTGCAAAACACGAAAGGATGCGAGAAAGAGCATTCAGGTCATCGGGATTTGGGAGAGCAAAAACTGCGACAACATCCGCATAGAGAGAACATCTAAATCTGCCATTTCTCACTCCAATCGAGGCTTAACACATTGGCACTCTTCGCTGCTTTAATGATCCGGTGAAAAGGCTCCATAGCTAAAATAAACAGCATTGGGGACAGGGGATCTCCCTGAGTGAGTCCCCTAGCATGATTAATTCTCATCCCTAGGGAACCATTTAGGAGCACTTGGGACGAGGAGGTGGAAAACAGATTAGAGATCCAACTCCCAAATCCGAAATGACGAAGGACCTCCAGGAGATCTTCTATCTAAAAATCTGAATGCAATTTCTTGCTTCTATGCTCTAGAATTATCAATTATACCCATTGTGAAGTGCAATCTCTACATGTACAAAACACAGATTTGACTCAGGATTAGCCCTTTATATAGCAGGATTTCTCTGAATTTGGAATATATGTTTGCCCTGGCTAGCTTTATGCCAAAAAGTCCTACTTCTGGTGAAGTGGTCTACTTAGGATCTTTTTGGGGTGTTGGGGTGAGGACAATTTATATTATTTCTACTTAGCAATGCAATCATATTATGGGGTCGTAGCTGCTTAATTGTCATTCTTTACTTATCATTTGCACCTTTCATGCTTTACTTTTACCATAGGACCACACTCAATTGATGTCAGGCTCTAACGGAAGTATGGAGAAGAAAATTGAGTGTGCGTCACCGGAAGTATGGAGAGGAAAATTTCAGCAGAGTGTAGACGTCTGTTCAAAAGCGATTACTCCACAAGCGAAGAAGCCTACACATACTCGCATAATAAGCAGCATTGGTGTAAAACCTGACGGGTCAGAAAGCATAGAATTTCTGTATGAGCTAGCAAAGATGAAATCCACTTCAGTTGCGGTTCTGTATCAAAATTGGCGGTTGATGTCAACTGAGTACCAAACAGGCAGCCTCTTACCACCTGTTGCTAGAAGCCGTGTGCCTTGGATTTTCGGCCCTACTGCTGATGGGGCTATCTTTGCAAACTTCATGGACAAGAGAAGCTAGTGTGCAACCAATGGGGACATGTCCCATGCTGCTTCGTTGGTCTATTCCAGGGATGGGTGGCTGTTGTTCCTGTCACTGCCAGGTGAAAAGAAACGCTATTGTCAAATGGTTTTGATGAACCCATTCAGTGGTGAAACGTTTACCATGCCTCCAGCACCGCTCGGCTTGCGTTGTGGTAGGCCAAAAGCTTCATTCACAGTACGTGAAGCTGTGAAGGGAGGCCAGACCTTGTGATATATTCTTGCTGGGTTGGCAGAAGAGACATTCAGGCATTGCTGGCTCGCCCAGGTGATGACGAGTGGCAGGTTCATACTGCAAGCGTCTTGTCACAACACATTGGCCTGTACGATTCTCTCTTGTGCGCTCGGAAGTTGTATTGTGTGTTTGACAGTGGCTGCAGGCTGATGGTGTTTCATTTGGATGGGCAGTATTGGTCATCCTACAGTGTTTACTTGCGTGGTCCGTATCTTGTGGAATTTGAAGGGAGGGTGTTGTCTGTCTGTGCTCCAAAACCCTTTGAACCTGATGGTGGTGGGAAGTTCTTCGTCGGGGAGTTGACAGTTGGTGAAAACCGAGCTGCTCTAGTGGAGCTGGATGACTCTGAGCTGAGTAACAAGTCTTGGTTTCTGGGTCCAGTCCAATCATTCCGTGCAAGGATCAAGGGCCATAGAGTTTATAACTTTGCATATAAACCACAATGGGATGGAGAAGATATTGAGAAAAATCATCATTATCACGTGCATTACCATGACTTGCTCAAGAAAAAGTTCAGATATCTCACAGTTGATGAATTCAGCTCTGGGCATTCTTGGGTTGATTTAGGTGGAGTGCTTGTAACACGCTACCCCAAGACCCAAGCATGATGATGGTTATGTGAACTTGCTTTGCCATTGGCAGCTGTAAATAAATTATATATCTTATATTTTGCTGGAATGGTCTAATAAGAGGCCATCCAATAAGATTGAGGGAAAAATTAGTTACAAGAGAAATTTTACATCGACAGAAGGCTGTCAACGTTGGCCATGCACACCAAAGCACACACCCAAGAACCACATGTCAACCACACAAACACAAGCCCCTGAGAGGGGTGAACTTTTGGTAGTTAGTGCAATGACCAGGTTGATGGTAAAGCTATCTTATGTTTGAGACGCTGTCAACTGCGCAAAACCTTTGTCGAAAAGAAACCTATATACGCTTAATTATGCCTTTCTTGTCCTCGTGTGGATCAAGGGAAAATATGTTTCAGTGACTAAACACCTTGTTTCCATGTTGATCATCTATCTGCTTTTTTTTTCCTTCATTTTTTCTTGACTGAATGCTTTTCTTTTTGCCTTATTGGTTGATGAAGTTTGTGTTTTCATTAGTAATATAAGGGGTGCATTTAGTCAATAGAGAACTAGAAATACTTTTGGTTCTTGCCTCCATATGTTTATTGCTATGATATGCGTGGTAGGGTATCAGTCGCTGACCGGTGCATCCAGTTCATTAGCTGACAGAGCACTCTTTACAACATCCATTTGAGCTGTATCATTATAATTTATAATTTGACAGCACCAAAAGAACTGCGCACTGTGCCTTTATAGTTTATAAGTGTGTCCTCACAAGTTAGACGCGCAGTAAGAGCTGGAAGTTAAAACATTTCGGAAGCTCGACGGCGTGGTTGCATCTGACGATGCCTTGCATCTCGTGGTTTGGCAATGAACCGATTCAGGCAAACTGATTTGAGATATAACTATTAGTCCACATAACTTAATTTTAATAGTAAACAGGCGAAAAGTTTTCGATTTTAGGGTTTAGATTAAAATATACAATGTAGCTATACTCTCTCATTGTCGCCAGCTACTTGCCACTTCTCAATGTCTCTTAGTCGAGCGTTAGCAAAGCGTCATTCTCATAGTGAGGCACTTGGAGTTGTAGTAGCGCCGGAGACTATGTGCTATAATGGAGAACCGGTTCTTGTCGTCCAGAGCTTGCGTTGGATGTATCCAGGGAGCTGAGGGTGGTTGCATGATGGGGCTTTAGGAGTTAGGACCCCTTCTTCTTGTTCCATCATAGTTCCTTCAAGATCATGGTTGCCAAGCCCCTCCGCCGCCACATAGTTGAGAAAACTGAACCGGGTATTGAACCGAGTGAGCTCCTGATTCACCGGTCTAGCTGTCCAACACCAGGTCGTCCGGTTCAAATGTTAAATCAAATGTAAGTTGTCGCCGCCTCTTCCATGACTAGGGACCATCGCTATCCCGAGTCTCTTCCCATTTGTCAACCAGCGGAAGGTGGAGGTGGTGAGATAGGTGGATAGGGAGGGGAGAGGGAGATCAGGTGGCAGTGACGCTATGAAGAGGAGAGGGAGATGTAAGTGGCGTTGTCCCGGTGATGAGTACAAAGACTTAGGTGGTGTTTGGATCTAGGGACTTAACTTTAATCTCTATATTTAGACACTAATTTAGAGTATTAAATATAGACTACTTACAAAACTAATTACATAAATGAAAGCTAATTTGCGAGACAAATTTTTTAAGCCTAATTAATCTATAATTAGAGAATGTTTGCTATAACATCACATATGCTAATCATGGATTAATTAGGCTCAATAGATTCGTCTCGCGAATTAGTGCAAGATTATAGATGGGTTTTATTAATAGTCTATGTTTAATATTTATAATTAGTTTCCAAATATCCGATGTGATAGGGACTTAAAAGTTTGTCCCATCTAAACATGGTCTTAGGCTTAAGGAGTCCACTGTTACTTAGGCTTAAACCACCCAAAGTTCTAAACTAGGATACATTCATCTGCAATTAAAAATGTCTATATTCAGTCATTATTCGAGGATATTCAGTCAAATTTAAAAATGTCTATATTCTGTCGGATATTCAGTCAAATTTTTAACCCCGGAGAAAGTTTACTTATTTCAACGTTAATGTTTTTTTTTAACTAGTGGGTGTATAAAAGAACATGAAGTACTGTTATGTAAGATATTTTTTGTTCTACTCATAACACAAGTCACAAAAACCTACACTGAAAACTTATTGCCAAAGCTACAATGAAAACTGAGCGAACCGTGAATATGTTTACATCGATGCATTCAAATGAAAACAGCAAAAGCAGGGAGAGCTCATCAGGCGATAAAAAGCTCGATTAAATATTGAGAATCCGAGGCACCTAGATAGAAAGTAAATGAGAAAATTTGGTCCTTCAAATAGATCAATCTTATTTCATGTAATCAAAAAGAAAAGGAAATTAAGCCAGCTTTCCCAGAATATCCATCCATAGGAAGGATGGTCACAATTAAGCAATTTACGGTTATGTCCTTGACAAATTATCTGGCAGAAAAAAAGTTATCCGCAAATTTTCACTCAATTCGTTGACATGGGTAAGGCTTACGGTCATCCTCATCCACACATCAAAGGCAAATCCACGATTGCACAAATTGTCCCGTGGTAAATCTGGGATCACGCAGATTGTCCAATGGAGAAAGAAGAGAGGAAATTTTGTCACACTTTGTCGAATGCTCTCAATGATCTATTATATTATTAGAAAAAAGAGCCTCCACGTTCGCTCTCATGGCCTAAAAATTCCCACATTAATCGGAGAAAAGAAAAAATCAGAGTTCATATAGAAATACAATTTAGAAATAGCTGAAATTCGGAATTAAAAAATAAGAAATATTAGAAGAGGAGACTGAGTCCATATAGAAATACAATTTAGAAATAGCTGAAATTCGGAATTAGAAAATAAGGAATATTAGAAGAGGAGACTAGAGTCAATATAGAAATACAATTAGGAAATAATAGAAATTCGGAATTAAAAATAAGGAATATTAGAAGTAGAGTACAGAGTCCATATAGGAATTTAAAACTAACTAAAATTTGGAATAAACGTAGAGTTTAGAGTTCGTATAAAATATAATTTATAAATAACTAAAATTCGAAATTAAGAAAAACATGGGAAGGAGAGTTTAAAGTCAATATAGAAATACAATTTAGAAGTAACTGAAATTTGAAATTAAAAATTGAGTTTAGAGTCCACATAGAAATACAATTAGAAATAAAAAAATCATAATTAAAAAAAAATATTAAAAGATGAGTCTAGAGTCCATATAGGAATATATATAATTTACAAATAACTAAAATTTGATTTTAAAAATAATTAATAACTAACACGTATATAAAATATAATATGAATATTAATTAGTAGTTTCGTAAAGTTATTGCAAAATTTAAAATTATGTTGTTATTTTAATATATTTGAATAATATAATGAGAAAATATATATGCTATTATATGAGAGAAAATATAATGATGCTAGCCGCGCAATCTGCGCGGACCACCATGCTAGTTATTATTATTATACCACATCATTACAATTCCAGCATTTAACGACTGAATGGCACAACCAGCTCAGGTAGACGAAAGCGGTTAGAGACTACCCAGAGTTCAGCAAAATCCATACACCACGATTCACGCCACAGTAATCAGGTTTCAAGGGCGCCAAAGTTCAGGGCAAGAGAAAGAGGACGATGTGCACGATGCCGCCTAATCCTTGTACTTCATGTCGGATACCCTGAAGCCAGGCATCTCGAATGAAGTGGCAAACTTCTCCACCTCCGCCCTGAGGTCCTCAATGTCCTTGTTGTTCTCCAGGCCCTCGTTGAAGTACTTGAGAAGCTTGCCACGCTCCTTCTGAACATCCAAGCAGATGGTCACTGCCTGGTGAAGGAACTCGGCGATCTGTACAAAGTCCTCCTCTACCAAACCCCTTGATGTCATGGCAGGTGTACCTGGAACCAGAATTCGGAGACAAATAATAATGGGCAACATGGCAAGTTACTGGAACATGTACAGATAAAGTAAAGTAAGATGTTTAGAGTTCAGTGAAGCCTTTCCAATCAAGTCAAAGTTCTCAGGACAGAAGGGTACAGAACAGATGCTTAGACTTAGAAAAATGTCTTTAAGCCATAAAAAATCTAGGACATATAAACTTTGATAAGCATGTCACAAACTAACAGCTTTCTTTTAGGTTATGTGTGAAATGTACAAAAGCACGTCGCAAGCTGACAGATCTCTTTTAGGTTATGTGTGGAATGTACAAATGCAAGATCACAATCTGCAGGTTTATTATGTTCTTCGGTAGTACACACTACGGAAGAACAGTTGCTCCAATACAAGGACTAGAATAATGAGCCTTGAAAGAACAAGGGTTAGTTTTCAATATTACCACTGTAGCCCCTTTGAATTGTACTGGTTAGAAATTATAATTTTTAGCTGTAAGTTACAAGTGATTCATAAATTTGAATAATAATATTGATGTGTCCGGTGAATTGGACAATAAACTTAATTTTGTACAAGGTATAGCACTAATGGTTTATTTAATTGAACAGAAATAGCACTTAGGATCTAATAGTATTATGTTTGGACCAAAAAAATATCAATTGAGACTCAGGTCTTTCTTCAATGAACAAGCATCATATTGGGAAGTATTACTGGGATAATAGGTTGTGTTAGCCCATCACCCCACTTTCTCAGGTACCGCTTTGAATGATAGATCCTTGCCTGTGACCATTAACCACCCCAAAGCATGTGGGCAAAAAAAAGTAACAGAACATTATATAATCTGTTGAGCAAGGAGCAGATACTGACCAATGCGGACACCACCAGGTGACATTGCACTGCTATCCCCAAAGACAGCATTTTTGTTCAGTGTAATGCTGCACAAATCACAGACCTTCTCAACTTTGTTACCTAAGGCAGACCAACATTTGAGTTAGTTCACATGGACTCAGAGAAAACAACATAAGATGCCATTAAACTTGCTCAGCATACCAGTCAAGCCAAGAGGGCGCAGATCCCAGAGAACAAGATGGTTCTCTGTTCCGTCAGTAACCAATTTGTAGCCCTTACTCATCAAATGGTTACCAAGGGCAACAGCATTGGCCTTGACCTGCTTAATATAAGACTTGAATCCAGGTGACATAGTCTGCTTCAAACCAACCGCTAGCGCAGCAATTTGGTGGTTGTGAGGGCCCCCTTGGAGCGACGGAAACACTGCGAAGTTGATCCTGTCCTCGTAGTCATACAGAGCGCCCTCAGGCTGGCCTTTCTTGGGAGGCTTCAGGCCCTTCCTGTAGAAGATCATACCAGATCTTGGCCCTCGGAGACTCTTGTGGGTGGTGGTGGTAACCACATCAGAATATTGAAAAGGATTTGCAGCCTCCTACAAAAGTCAATGTCAATAGTAATAATTATAGCAAAGAGATGTTTCAAAAGATTTAAGGCCCTGACTGAATACAGGAGTATCATAGGATTCATTGCATGATAACATCTCATGTTGAGATTGAATGGATTCCCTATTCCATTTGTATGTTAATAGGTTCAAAATTAACTGCTAATACAATGACTCCATCAATTACTGTATTTCAACACTTAGAGATCACAAGCAGTTTAGTGAAAGCAATTCTTGGAAGCCCAGGAAATTCTTAATGACAGCTTAATTTAGATCATTGTACAAATAGGGAAGATGGGTAATTGCCAAAATGATAGGGTTTATAACAATTGCTAGTTGCAACAAACACATGTCAGTTGTCACATTCAGACAGTGGTATACACAAACGCAGACAAAAGAATGTACCACGAGGGTACATACTAGTCACAACCTCACAGGGAAACAACCCGTCATTCCGGGTTGTAATTTTAAAATATCTATCTGAGTCAAGCATTTCCCTTATTTGTGATATCACAACTAATTCCCAGGCATCAACCAATCTCTTCCTCACAATAGCAAAGGGACTTGAAATGAAATACTGACCTAGATACAGAAAAGAAGGGCATGTCCGCACGCACAAATGTTGCATCAACTATGTAGGACGAAACAAGGAAATCAGAGGGAGTCTCTAGTCAAATTTATTTGACGTTGGGACTTCAGAGTACTAATCCTAGTTCTCCTAATGTCTAATAAGTTTGACTGGAGGGACTATTTCGTAACATTGTCAAACCCAGCAACTAAACTCGCAGAACAAAGCCATCGACAATAGTGGCATCATGGCATGTGGCAATTAGGAGCCGATGCTACCTAGTAAGAATTATCCAGGTAATCGCGATGAACTAAAATTTAATACCAATAAATCGAGAACCCGACCAACTAGGCAAATGCAATTTAGAGCACAATTACATAAGGACACAGGAACACAAACAATTCCATACCTGCGCGGCAACTAGGCCACTGATGTGAGCCATGTCGCAGAGCAACATGGCGCCGCACTTATCCGCGATGGCCCTGAACCTGGCGTAATCCCAATCCCGCGGGTACGCGCTCCCGCCGCAGATGATGAGCTTGGGCCGAAAATCCATGGCCTTCTCCTCCAGCTTATCATAATCGACGTATCCTGTCTCGGAGCTCACCTTGTACGGCAGGCTCTCGAAGTAGATGGACGTGGCGGAGATCTTTTTGCCGCCGGCGGTGTAGTAGCCGTGCGTGAGGTGGCCGCCGGACGGCAAATCGAGCCCCATGATCCGCTCGTGGGGTTGGAGCAGCCCGGTGTAGGCGGCGAAGTTCGCCGGCGAGCCGGAGTAGGGCTGCACGTTGACGCCCCAGGCCTCGGGGTCGAGGTGGAAGGCGGCGAGCGCGCGGGCGCGGCAGAGCTCCTCCACCTCGTCGATGACCTCGTTGCCTCCGTAGTAGCGGGACCCCGGCATGCCCTCGGAGTACTTGTTGGTGAGCGGCGAGCCCAGCGCCTCCATGACGGCGAGCGAGGTGAAGTTCTCCGACGCGATGAGCTCGACGCCCGCGCGCTGCCGCCGCTTCTCGCGCTCGACGAGGTCGTACACCTCCGGGTCAGCCTCCTCCAGAGTGGTCAGCCCCCAGTCGGCCACGGCGTCCATCGCTGGGGCGGCGACCGGGGACGTCGCCACCGCGGGGGACAGCCTGCTGCGCCGCGCCCCGCTGACGAGCGGGAGCTGGAGACGGGAGGAGTGGTGATGGCTGGAGAGCGGGTAGGTGGGGCGCGAGGAGAGAGCCGCGCGCGTGGGCGGCTGGGCGAGGTGGTGCGAAGCCATCGCCATGCGCGCCAGGTGCTCGGCGGAATGCCCACGCGGATAGCGGCTGCGATGCGGCGCGGGTGAGGGAAGGGGAGTGGAGAGGGGAGCCTCGGGTAGGCTTGGGCTGGGTTTGGGCTTGCGCCGCCACTGTCCGTTGTTATATAGCGGCGGGCGGTGCTCGAGGGTTTTGTGCCTCGAGATTCGTGTAGTGCGTGCATCTGCTGCAGCTCTCAGCCGTTGATTATTCCGTATGTTTCCTTTTTTTTTTGTTCCTTTATTAGTTCGACGAGAGAAGCAGGTTGACGAAACCCTAGCGAAGTGACCGAGGATGACCGATTCCTCTCCTTTCCTCCTTTCCGTTTTCGTGTCGTCTCGTCGCGGAGTTGTGCTGTGTTCTACGGGACGTGTCTTGCGGTCTCACCTAGCGTGCGTAGGCACCCGCAGATGTGGGCCCCGTCGGTCAGGCGGTCGGTGAAGGTTTTGCCCGTCGTTTAGCACGAAATGGCTCGAGGCTGGAGCGTGTGAATGAATGGAGAAAAGTAACATGGACCTGTCACACATGATTCTCGTGATCGACTGAGATTAGTTTCTCCTATTTAACTCTCACTCTCTTAACAAGAGTTGATTTAGTGAGAAAATATTTTATTTTTCACTAATGAGATAAGCAAAACAAGTGTGTATATCCCCATAAGATCAGTTTATCCTTATTCGGCATATTGAAATATATACTATTCCAGACTATGTTTGAAATTGATCTAATAAAACCAAGAAGAAAATGAATATGTTTTCTAAATTTTATTGTGCTTGCATGTTATTTTGGGAAAAGTGTGTGTTTTATTTTAGTGTTGGCTGGAGGGTAATCGCTATTATGAAAGGAAACACCTTTAAAAAATAGTTTCCCTTTAATTCGACATTAATCAAATTAATTTAGAGCGACTAAGGTGTCTTAATTGATCTCATTCGAAGAAACGTAAGAATGGCTATGAGTTTGCCAAATCCTCCTATAAGTTGTTAAATGGGTTGGGTCTTTTCGTGTCCGCTTGGCACGCATATGAAATTGATAGACTAGGAACAACGCAATCCGTTTGGCCGTAGTTCGTGTTGGCATGGCTTGTCTACCCACGTCGTGCTTGTGTTGCTATTTGACCTGGCATGCCAACATGACTAGTGCATATAGTGAGCGAGCACGACATGGGCCATGAATAGCATGACACGGTCTGACCTCTGCGGCATGATGATGACCGACGATTGGCGAACAAGTACCAGGGGCTAGGAGGAAAGGAGAACGCAAGAATCGAGAAAGCCATGGGCTTGGGGCAGAGGAAGCGATGGTAGACGCTCGTCGACGTAGGCCTACACGGTAGCGTGGTGGCACGGCCAACCCTATTCATGGCATGGCAACATATGTGGAATCGTGTCTTGTGGGTATAGTTGTATAACTTTGATCAGAGTAAAACTATTCGTATAGCCATGCCCGCAGTTATGGGCGATCAACCAGATTCATCGTGCTTAGTCTTATTTATTAATAATTTGACTTAATGGAACTGGCATAGTTTAGGTGGAGAGTTGGGCCTGTTGTAACGTGGTGTAGCGTTGAACAATGATGATTAATATTGCTTAATTTACATTAACAATTTTTACTGCTTTCAACTACTGCTTTTAAATACTTGCTTTATGCAAATGAACCCTTGGCCTCCTTTTGAATTACTTGCATCATACCTCCTCTTCTGGTATGACTTGCTGAGTACAGTAGGTAGTACTCAGTCTTACTCTTTCTTCCCCACACTAGAGATGGAGTACTTCTTGGTTGGAGGTTTCTCGGAGAAGTAGGCTACATCACTGCCGTCAAGGATGCCTGTGGAGTGGAGACGCCACGCTGCAAGAGTCAAGTCTTTAGTTTAAGCTCGCTTTTACCTTTCCACTGCATTTATAAAACTTTTATTATATTTGTAAGATGTAGATCTGTATGTCAACTTTGTCATTTGTGTACACTGGCCGGTCCTGGACAGGGGTTTTGATGCACATTCAGCTTGGAAATTCTGGCTCGTGAATTTCTGGGCGTGACACAGGTGGGCCCCTATGATGGTTCCTGGTGGTTTGGCCCCGCTTCACATCGGTTTGGCCTGACTTGTGGGCCCCTCAATCCATGTGCTCGCACGTGATTTGCTGGAAGTGTGTTTCTTTACACGCCGACCTTATCTCCTTCACTTTTGTGTTTATTCCTACATCCAATTTAATTCTCCAATTGTAATACAACTACATTATTTATTATTGGTATGCATGTAAGAAATGATAATTTTCCCTTTATTAATTTTGCTAGCTAGTGGTCAAAACTGGTACTTAACATCCATCAACAGTAGGAAGTGAAGGGCCACGAAGGTTGTTGGCGGTTATTAAATGCCAATTTTATGCCGCCAATACCTACATAAATTATAGATAATACAACATCCAACATAGTGATAGGATTCAATTCTAATATATTCCACGAGTATTAGTGTATATTTGGATACAGGCAATAAACCACTGAAGTTGGGAGGAATTTTATACTAAAGTGAAGAAGAATTCTATCCATACAAGAGTTGGGCTCCTAAACTCCATCAAAACACCAGTAAATGGACCCAACTACCGGAGAAATGGATAAGGCAGAGTGAGGAGGAGGCCCAGACCGAATCTGGGGGCCATCTGGCCTAGCCCTGGTTGCGAACCCTGGTGATCACCGTTGGATCTAGGTTTTGGTATGGATGCTCCAGATGCTCTCTTGATGGCGGTTGCGGGGCATTTCCGACAATTTGCATAGTTACACCGTCATATCTGCCTATTTAAGGACTTCACTCCTTCACTTCTCACACACACTCCAAGCTTGAGCTGAATTATAAGAGGCTCTATTATACTATATTGTATACTAGAATTAGGAAGAGTAATGTAGAAGAACTCGGAGGAATTCCGGAGTTGTCAGTAATCCTCTTTTATTTCTTGTACTTTATTAATTACTCTACTTTAATAGAAATATCATTCTGAGTAATTAATATTTACTTCGTGAGAATTATTCTTTGATTAGATCCTAATCAGCGTGCAGATCATTGTTCACTATAGTCCATTAATCTATAGCGATTGCTTTAGTGTTTAGTTAGCGCTAAAATAGTTATTAATTGCGTAGACGCGGTGTCTGGGTAATTAATTTCTTGTGATTGCTTCGTATCCCACGTTAGGTTTGAGGTGGGTGTAGAGGTGTGACAGCCCTCAAATAAACTAAAGTCCTCCTTGTCGGGTACGCAATGGAGCGACATCTGGGAGCAGCGGTATAACATCTCGGGTTTTAGCTATAGTCTTAGTCACGCTAATGATTTGGTCACACTGGCTGAGAGCGGTGTCGATTGAGCCACGATGCTGGCTAGGACCTATAAATATGTTGATTGTTGTTCTATTATGGATCTTAAATGATTTTTCAATCGTTTCCTTGTCATTTATTTATCAAGTCATATCCATATGCATCATTATTTTTAGTTAGAGTAAACCTGGTGAGGAGTGGGATAATTTAGTTTTGGTTAAATTATAGCATAGATTAGTCGTCACGAAGTGAGGTACACATGTGCACAGTAGAAACCACATCTCTTTATTTACAATTTACCACTATAGGTCTGCATACATACATGCATATAATTGTACTCTAGAAATCTTATACAGTATGCATCACATATATTGTGCATTTACAAGGTGCTTATAGATACCATATCATAAACTGAAACATCTCAGTCAAAGATTCAATAATTATTTATTTTTCAGAAAAACTCTTCAGTCATAGAGCAATTACAAATCAGTCCTCGAGCTCTAGTAAAATCTTAAATATTATAAAACCTTAAGGACTAGAATGTAAGAATTCCATAAGTACACGTGTTAAACCAACTTCCTGCTGTAATTATAACGCCGCTCTTAATAGTTTCTAATTTACTGACTTTAGGTTCCATGTAATCACCAAAATGACATCAAAGAGGAAATTACTTTTTTCACCCCAAATTGATTAGGTGAAAAATGAGGTGGCAGCAAGTCCTTTTCCAAACCGACATGCAGGCAGCTGCATCACCATGCCCTCACAAATTACATACAAATATTAGCCAAGCTAGTAGACTAGCCATCATGTTGCTTTGGCTGGGAGACGACCTCGAGGAACAGCATTAGCAGCAGTTGCAACAGTAGTAGAGTAGTATGGCTCAGCTAAGAAGAGCAACAACAGCTGTAGTAGCAAGTAGCTTAGCTAGAGAGTTACTCCCTCCGTCCAAAAAAAATTACTCCCTCCGTTCCAAAAAAAGACAAACCCTGGATTTCCATGCCAACGTTTGATTGTCCGTCTTATATGAAAATTTTTTATAATTAGTATTTTTATTGTTGTTAGATGATAAAACATGATTAATACTTTATGCGCGTGACTTATCTTTTTAATTTTTTTCATAATTTTTTTAAATAAGACGGACGGTCAAACGTTGGACACGGAAATCAGGGTTTGTCTTTTTTTTGGAAGGAGGGAGTAGTTCATTCGAGAGAGGAGCAGCTCAGTGAAATCCAGCACAAACCAATACATCAATTAACCATAGCTGCATAGTATCCATAGTAAAAACAATCAGGAAGAGAGAGAGAGGGAGGTCAGAGGAGTAAAAGGAGAAGCAGGGTGTTCTGTTCTTGGATGAACAGGGGTTTCAGCTCTTGGAGAAGATGTTACCAAGGTTAGGAAGCAAGATAGAGCAGCAATAATCAAGCAAGAGGATCAGTCTCAAGAGGAGGAAGAGAATCACCAGTAGCAGATCAAGAAAGATGTCAGGAAGCAGTCAAGTATTACCGGTAGAGGAAGGGCCAAGGAGGAGAATCACCTGAGTTCCAAGTAGAACAGGGGGTTCAGTTCAAGAGGGGGAACAATCAACCAAGCTCAAGGTGGAGAAGCTTAGTTCTAGCAAAATCACCTTTAGATCCAGAAGAGCAGCAGTAGAAGAGAAGACTTGGATTTTTGAAGGAGGAGCTGAACCACATATTTTTCAATCACTGTAGAATCATCAGAGGTAACCAAAAATTAAAATAGGGAAGGAGAGTAGATCCTGCATTCATAGTAACAGCATTTGTTAGAGCTAGAGTTTCATACAGATATATGCACCATCCATACTGACCAAAACCTTAGAAATTCCAAATGAATATAAGTGACAAAAATTAGGAGGCTATAGTTTAAGATAAATGTATGTCTTTAAATCTTAATATAGACGTATATCAATTATAATATATGAAATCTTGATAGCATCAATAAGCATGTGTAGCTGTAATTCTTGTATAAATCAACTAGTGTTCATGATATAAATTATTTAGGAATAGAGCATGTATAGAAGAAACTGATCATGCATGAGAATTTGTAAGTTTTCATATTCTAGTCATGCAAACAGGGCATAACCTTGACATGTGCATATTCCTGGAAGGGTTAGGATCTGTGTCTATGAATCTGATTTCATTTAAAAGTAATGAAGCTCAACCCTGATTTAATAGAGAAAACATCATAAATTATTAATAGTTTGATTTGAAGGATAGCATGTGAAATTAGTAGGTTATGAATCTGGGTTTGCATATGTATCTAGTTCTTTACTACAAAATTCAGAAAAGACGTCATAGGATGAATCTGGATGTACATTTAAGCATGTATAGTGTTAAAGTAATAATAGTTGTACTAAATCGTAAAGACTTAACAGAACATGCAAGTTTCTTTACCAGATTATTATGTGCAGGAGAGTAAATGTTTAGAGCATAGTCTCATAATAAAACAAATGTAAGTAATATAATCTATCAATAACTCTAATCTAATAAATTATATAGAGATGAAATTCTGGACATATAGACTAGTAGTAAATTATTTAGAGAAACAAATTATCATTTATTAACTTCAAGATTCAAGTTTTAGGGATCTTCAGTCCAATAATTCAATATGTATAGATAGAAATTGCCATGATTATCAAAGTGTAGAACCATGTAAATTAATAAGACTTTAGTCAAAGATCTGATCCTGCTTGTATGTCACCAATTTTAGAAGATTCAGTTAATTCAACATGTATGCATATATAAGGACCAGTGATATTAGTGTGATTTTAATTTCAGTAATGCAATTCATAGGTTTATTCATGTCAGCATTCATTTATCATGAGCATATAGACATTATTCACCAAACCAAGTCAAACGTAAGAACCCTGAAATCAGTAAGCACAACCCTGAGTATAGAAAAAAAATCAAGTGACCACTAGGATCATTTATATACAACCAGCATCACTAGTCCACCGCTATCACAGACATCACCAAGGAGAGATAAACACTAGCATAGAGCAGAAGTTGAAGAGATTGAGGATAATACTAACTAGGGCAGTAGAGGAGAAAAGGGAAGATGAGCTATATAGAGAGATTTAGAGAGGGAAACAAGGGAAGAGAGGATTGAAGGAAGGGGAGAGGAGGAAGAAGCGGCGGCGGCGGCACCTTGCCGGCCAGCCAGGCAGAGGCGGCGGCGACACACCCTACAATTGGGGGCGCAGCCCTTGTGCGCCACAGCGCCAGGGAGAGAAGAGAGCGAGAAAGAGAAAGGGGAAAACGGGAGGAAGAGGAGAACAGAAGAAAAGAAAAGAGTAAAGTCCATCACCGGTCCCTAAACTTGTACCGATGTGTCATCCCGGTCCCTAAACTCGTAAATCGACCGTTTAGGTCCTTAAACTTGTTCGACTGTGTCATCCCGGTCCCTAAACTTGCAGATCACTCGTTTAGGTCCTCCAAGTTGTTCAGTTGTGTCACCCCGGTCCCTAAACAGGACAGTCTAAAAACTTTATATCAAAAAATAATTCATAACTTTTTCATGTGAACTCTAATGAAGACAAAATTTATATCAAAATTGTATCCCTCGACGCGACCTACAACTTTGTAGTTGAAAAGTTTTTGAATTAAAACTGTTTAGGGTCCCAAAATATTGTTGCATGTTTATAGATTTTGAAATTTTGATTTTAAAATTACATTTTGGGACAAAAAAATGACTTTAAATAAAAAAGTTTCAACTACAAAGTTGTAGATCGCGTTGAGGACTACAAGTTTGATATAAAGTTTATCTTCATTAGAGTTCACATGAAAAAGTTATGAATTATTTTTAAATATAAAGTCTTTAGACCGTCCTATTTGACCCAGATGATATTCAAATCCAAATTTAGGGACCGAGGTGGCACAACTGAACAAGTTGGAGGACCTAAATGAGCGATCTATAAGTTTAGGGATCGGGATGACATAGTCGAACAAGTTTGAGGACATGAACGGTCGATTTGCGAGTTTAGGGACCAGGATGACACAGCGGTACAAGTTTAGGGACCGGTGATGGACTTTACTCAAAAGAAAAGGAGAGGAGAGAAAGAAGGTGGGCTAGGTGGATTGTGCTGTTGTGGGCTTTAGTAGTTGGGCTAATAGAATTTAGTAGTAGAGTTAGAAAATAAAGAAAATTAGTATATGACATTTAAACTCTTTAAATTCAATCTTAGGTCTTGCATATTCTAATGTATTATTGCAGCTACTATTTTAATTCACTCCATATGATTTTTAAATTAAATTAAAGTGTGTCTTTTTGAAGTAAATATATGTCCCACCAAATCTTTCATATTAGAAATCTAAATAAAAGTATTCCGTGAAATATATCTTATAAACTATTTTTCTAAGCAAACACATATAATCATTATTTCTATGAAAGCGATATATCTTGGGACTGTTGTTGAATAAAATCTATACAGTGAATCAAATTTCTTCTAAGTGAAATAATTACTCTTTCTTATAAAATAAAAGTTTAACAAAAGCAAGACCATAACCTTTATAGGTCCTGCATATGCATTCGGGTTAGACATATCATGTGCATCGCATTCATATAAACATTCTCGTATTTAGTTGTGTTTTATTGTTTCTTTTAGTTTGGCGTTTATCTTGGATTTCTTGGGATTCTTCATTAATTTATTCGTTCTTCGATTGCGGGTATTTTAGGCAAGTCCAACACCTTTGACCAACTCTTGTTATATTTTCATAATTGCAATCTATATGTATCACATTGCATTACATTATACTTTCTATAATTAAATAAATATGCTGATGGATTAGATTGACTGGTGGAGCAGTCGATCATATTATAGGTGTATTCTGAACTTGCCATGGTGGTGGGGGTTCAGTTGCATATATTTATCATCATAAGGTTAAACAACAACTATTATATGGCATTCAAGCGCCATAGCGATCGTGTCGACCATATGACCTGGAATGGGACATGCTAGCTTAGTAATTCTTTCTTAATGGCTTTATCCTGCGGGCTTAAGGACTTCCGCGAATCCGGTGAGCGTGGCCTAGCGATGAGGATTGCCGTTGTTGCGGAATCCGATTAGATGATGTGGATCGCTGTTGTTGCGGGATCCAATGATTCGCTGTTGCTCCGGGAATCACCCGCAGAGATAATTGACAGATGGGATTGATGAAAAGCTTGTGACCTTAGCCTTGCCGGCATACACCATGAATTGTGCTTCAAGCGCCGATGGGCGTGGGCATTAAAAGGTTTAAGGCGTCTGTGGGTATAGCGACACACCTCTGCAGAGTGTATGAATTGTGATATGTCACTCCCTATTTCAGGTAGAAACTGCGAACGCGACATGAAAGGAACCTATCGGAGGTTCTAATACCTGTGGTGCCTTATATGCAGCAGATTTTATAATTACTTAATATGAGCTTTTACTACACTGTTTTATAAACTTGCATAAAATTCATTGTTGGATTATGGGATTTGGAGATATATGTATTATGCAGGTGGATTATGGGCATGTATTTGTTGGATTGTTATAGTTAGACTTGTTGAGTACCATTCGTACTCATCCCCTATATATATATTATTCCTTGTAGAGTTGAGCTAACAATTAGGTGAAGAGAAGATTCTATAAAATTGATCAAGTGTTGCATATTTCTACATCAACTTAATGTTGAAGGTGATGAAGATCTAGAAGAGCAAGGTACTGGTTTCGCTACAATTGTTTTTTCTATGCTACTCTAGTGTGTCCATTTCTTGGTAAGTTGGTTCTTACTAAGGAATGACCTGTAGATCGGTATTCTACCTCGGAAGTGAAATACGAGGGTCGTTGCAAGCGGGCCAGCCCGTGCCTGAAGTATCGCGTTAGGATTAAATTGAGCTTTCTGTCTACATTGTTTCGCACTAGGAAATCCTCTTTGTCCTTTGCCTACTTTTGCTTCATGTCCTTGGATGAACTTGAAGAGGAGCTGAACACACACGTTCCTCTTTTGCCTACTTTTGCTTCATGTCCTTAGATGAACATGAAGAGGAGCTGAACACACACGTTCCCTGAGGAAATTGATACCTTGGAATACTCCCGGGTATCTTCTGTGCGCTTGCAAATTTTATCTATGACGTTAAGAACTACCAACAACGGTGAGTGGAGGACCTTTCTAGAGCTTTCTCAGAGTTTGTGCAACAGAATGCAATGGACTCTGTTCATATTTTATTTCTTGCTATACATCAAATTTGGGCTAACCGCTCTTCACATTGCCCACATAACCTAATCGTGCTAGGCCAACAAGACATGATCCGATATCGCACTAGGCCATGCCTAAGCTCCGGTCTTAACACGTGGCCCGACATGGCACGCGCCGTTCAATAAATCGTGCTTAACTGGGCAGTGCCCAAATACCTATTATTTATCCACCATCTTAACACTATACTATGGCTGTGTTTGCATCCTCATGTTCCCAACCCATCTCCCTCGTTTTCCGCGCGCACGTTTTTCAAAGTACTAAACGATGCGTTTTTTGCAAAAAGTTTCTATACGAAAGTTGCTTAAAAAAATCAAATTAATTCATTTTTGAAAAAAAATTAGCTAATACTTAATTAATCACGCACTAATGGACCGCTTCGTTTTCCGTGCGGGAGGGATTAGCTCCCATCACTGGACTCCGAACACAGCCTATATGTAAAATAAATCCGCCATCTCAAAATTCCAGCCCCAGGGGTTCTATTTGAATAATGGGATTAGGTTTAATGGATATTATTTAAGATAATTCCTTATATGCCACTAAAAATTATCGTTTTCTTATATACCACTTGTAATTGGCTCTTTTCTAATATGCCATTGTCTCAAATTTACATACTCTCTTATGCCACTTTCATCACTCCACCTTGCATCAATTAACATTAGGCTTCGGTCAACTATTAGTTTTTCTTGCATTAATGACCAAAATAGCCTTAGCACTAACAAAAAAGTATCAGAGAGATGGTTAGGATCTCTACACGGCATGAACGAGCGTGGATATGGAGGTAGTAAACCAAAGGGTTAATTAGATTTATGCCAATATAACTTTAACAGTTTTAAAATATGCCATTACTATTCATCTATTTGCCAACACACTATTACAATTCTATAGTTTTTAGATGCATGCCACTATATACCCTTTAAATAAAATCTTTTATCTTTACCTACTTAAAATATTCGTAGTGTTTTTACCATCCCACCTCTATATCTCTATCTCTACCGGAAAAGCTAATGGGCGATCGACCCCTCCTCCTCCACGTGGTTTTCTTTTTTGGCACCGCATTACTTTCCTATTTTAGTAAATTTATGCATCTAAAGTTGGTATACCTCAAGTTTACACATGTAAAGTTTATACACGTAAAGTTTTTCCTATTTTAGTAAATTTATGCATCTAAAGTTGGTATACCTCAAGTTTACACATGTAAAGTTTATACACGTAAAGTTTAGAGATCCAAAGTTTATAAGTCAAAAGTTTATATATTCTATTTAAATTTGAATTTGAATTCAAATATTTTTTATATATAGTATTTTCTATATATCTAAAGTTTATAGACCTAAAGTTTATATACCTGATTCAAATTTGAATTTGAATTCAATTTTTTTAATATATATATATATATATTTATATATATAGTATTTCTATACACCTAAAGTTTAGAGACCCAAAGTTTATTTAACCTCAGTTTTCTTGTCTTTCTTTCTTGTTTATTGCAGGATCAAATCAACTGGCACACCTTTGAACCCAAGAGAAAGATTTAGGACCTGCACTGGAGTTAAGCATATCTCCCAGGCCAGTGTATGTTTTTCGCATCAATACGCTTTTGGCACACCCGGTGGGACACGAGTTGTAACGACTTTTCATCATGGTAGACAACAAGCAGTCAACCAAGCCACCGTCTGATGTTATCCCTGATCACATCATCCCAATAACACTAGATAAGCTGACACCAGAACAGATGGCAGAGTATGAGCAGATGATGAATAATTTGAAGACTCAGTGCCTGCATTCATTCAAGAAAACCCGTTCAGGAACAGTTATCTAGAGGTATAAGCTAAAAGTAGTTCCCAATAATGAATCAGAGACGAGCACATCTAAAGATGGCAAAGCTAAAGGTGATAAAGGTAAAGATGATGAGCCTAAGGATGACAAGTCAGAAGGAGAAGACTCTCAAGAGATCAAGAATCTGAAAGATCAGATTGTCTATGTCGTTCATCATGCTTTGATCAACCAATCAGGAGATGCTTCTCAATACTTTGACTAATATGATCAAGTCTATGGT